GCAAGTTTTCTACCTCATTAAATGAGGTTCATCTACAATGGTTGAAATAACCATTGTAAATATTCAACAATGGCTGCTATAGCTTATAGCCTTTTACAATAGGGTGGTAGAAATGGGGTTGGACTTTCATGGGCTGGAACTAGAAGCTTTTGCCAACGATCTCCCCCTCTAGCCCCATGCGAGGAAACTCAAACCTTGACTCCTTACTTGGAGTCCATCTTGGCCAACTTCGTGTAATATTCAAACTTTTCCTTGGGAAGAACTTTTGTCATCATATCAGCAACATTGTTGTTTGTGTGAATCTTTTTGAGTTGAAACTACTTGTTCTCTGTCACCAAGCGCAACCAGTGATATCTCAGATCTATATGTTTTGTTCGGGCATGGTACATAGTATTCTTGCTCAAATCTATAGCACTCTGGCTGTCACAAAATACTACATACTCTTTTTGCTTCAATGCCAATTCTTGTAGGAATCTCTTCATCCAAAGCATCTCTTTACTAGCTTCTGTAGCTACAATGTATTCAGCTTCGATTGTTGACAAGGCAACACACTTTTGCAATTTTGATTGCCATGATACAGCTTCCTTTGCAAAAGTGAATAAATACCCTAAAATAGATTTTCTATTATCAAGGTCACCTGCCATGTCTGCATCTATGTATCCCTTTAGGAGTGGTTCAGTTTGCCTAAATGTCAAACACAACTTAGTAGTTCCTCTCAGATATCTGAAGATCCACTTAATAGCTTCCCAGTGAATCTTGCCTGGATCAGACAAGAATCTACTCACAACACAAACAGCATGAGCAATGTCTAGCCGTGTATATACCATTGCATACATCAATGAACCGACTATAGAAGAATAAGGAATAGGTGACATTTTCTCCTTTTCTTCTTTGGTAGTTGGACAAGATCGTTTACTTAGCTTGAAGTGATTTGCAAGAGGAGTGCTAACTGGCTTAGCATGTTTCATGTTGAACCTTTCAAGCAACCGTTCAACATACTTCTCCTGTGATAACCACAGCTTCCCAGCCTTTCTATCACGGGTAATAGCCATACCTAGAATTTGCTTTGCTGGTCCCAAGTCTTTCATGTCAAAGGACTTTGATAACTCCTCTTTTAACCTGTAAATTTTCTCAACATCTTGTCCCAAAATTAGCATATCATCAACATATAACAAAAGGATAATGAAGTTGCCATTAGGGAATAATCTGATGTAGACACATGGATCTGCATTTGTTTTTTTACAACCATGACCCATCATAAAAGAATCAAACTTCTTGTACCATTGTCTTGGAGCTTGCTTTAGTCCATACAAGCTCTTCTTCAACTTGCAAACCATATGCTCATCCCCTTTTTCTTCAAAACCTTCTGGTTGATCCATATAAATTTCCTCATGCAAGTCACCATGGAGAAATACAGTTTTCAAATCTAACTGCTCAAGCTCAAGATTCATGCTTGCTGCTAGACCGAGCACAACATGAATCGAGCTCATCTTTACCACTGGGGAAAATATTTCATCAAAATCAATCCCCTTTTTCTGACTGAAGTCCTTTACCACCAATCGAGCCTTATATCTGACTATCTTGTCCCCATCTTTCTTGAGCTTGAATACCCACTTGTTTTTCAGGGTTTTTCTTCCTTTGGGAAGTTCCACAAGCTCATAAGTATTGTTCTTATATAGGAGCTCATAAGTATTGTTCTTATATAGGGAGTTCATTTCTTCTCGCATGGCCTTCATCCAATAGTCTTTGTCTTTGTGAGACTGCACCTCTTGGAAGTTCTCCGGCTCCCCTTCTTCAGTGATCAGAATATAATCAGAACTAGGGTATCTTGCAGATGGTTTGTGCTCTCTGGTGGACCTTCTCAACTAAGGTTCTTCCTCCTGTGGCAGGGGTTGCTCCCCCTGCTCATTACTTCCTCTATCTAAACTTGCTTTATCTTCTTCAATTATTAGCTCCTCTGTCTCGTCTTTTGGTACTTGCACCTCTTCTTCATTTGTAATTTTTCTTGAAGGAGTTTTTGCCAGTGTTAGATCTTCTACACCCTCTCCAAAGCTTCTTGTAGCTTTTTCCTCCTTCAAATCATTAATCTCCTCATGTTCATGAAACACGACATCTCTACTTCTGACAATTTTCTTCTTTTCTGGGTCTCATAGTCTATAGCCAAACTCCTCATCACCATATCCAACAAAAATGCATGGAATGGATTTATCATCCAGCTTTGATCTCTGTTCCTTTGGCACGTTCATAAATGCTTTGCACCCAAACACTCTCTAGTGAAAGTATCCAACATCTTTTCCCGTCCAAGCTTTCTCCGGGATTTCAAAGTTCAAAGGAACTGAAGGTGACTGGTTGATCAGATACACTGCTGTGTTGATTGCCTCACCCCAGAATGGCTTAGTTAGAGTTGCCATTCTTAGCATGCATCGAACTTTCTCCACAATGGTACGATTCATCCGTTCTGCAACACCGTTGTGTTGTGGAGTGCCAGGAACTGTCTCTTCATGCATTATGCCATGCTTCAAACAGTAGTCTTTGAATTCTTTGGAGGTGTACTCCTCTCCATTATCTATACGAATACATTTCAACTTCAAACCTGTCTCCTTTTCCACCATAGCATTGTAATGCTGGAGATACTTGAAAACTTGGCTTTTATTCTGCAACAAGTATGCCCAAGTTTTTTGAGTTGCATCATCAATAAAGGTAACAAAATATTTATTGCCACCAAATGACTCCACCTCTAGGGGACCACAAACGTCAGATTAGACCAAGTCTAGCTTGTTCTCTTTCCGAGTCAAATTCTTCTGAAAAGAAACTCGGTGTTGCTTTCCAAATAGGCAAACATCACAAGGATTCACATATTCACCTTTGGCAATGGGAATAAGGGACTGCTTAACCAAAAGTTGCAATCCTTTCTCACTCATGTGAGCTAATCTATTATGCCATAAATTTGGAGAAGCCTCATCTTCAACTGTGTTCAGTTGACCTCCACACATTTTCATGTGTGTCTTGTATAATGGGCAACATGCTCTCCCTTTTGCCACCACCATTGATCCTTTGGTGAGTTTCCAGTTGCCATTCCTGAAGTAAGGTGCGTATCCTTCTTCATCCAGTGCTTTTGCAAACAACAGGTTCATACGCATATCAAGAACATGTCGCACATTTTTTAGTGTCAATGTGCACCCAACATTTGTCTGGACACAGATATCACCAACTCCCATAATATGAGAAACACTCTTGTTTCCCATTTTTATGGTGCCAAAGTCTCCTGCTTTGTATTTTGAAAAATATTCCCTTTTGGGAACACAGTGATAAGAGGCACCAGAATCAATTATCCACTCGACATCCAACTTTTCTACATGGCAACACTCCCCACGATCACATAGTGAAGTCACGTCACCACCACTGGTAGATGCTACAGTGGTTGTATTGCTATCTTCAACCTGTTTCTTGTCTTTTCCTTTTAACAAGTAGCAATTCCTTTTCATGTGGCCTAGCTGGCCACAATGATAGCATTTCACTCCACTTTTGGACTTTGATCTGGATTTGCCTCCTCGTCTTCTAGGTTCTCTGGTTTTACTCTTGCCTCTATTCTCCATAACAAGAGCTTGAGTATCTGGTTGCGAGAAGACTCTCAATGCCCACATCTTTTTTTCCTCTTCAAAGATACTGTTTTTGGCAATTTCAAGTGTGACTTGACCACTAGGAGATGAGTTGATTGTTGTTGATCTAAAACTCTCCCATAATTCCGGCAAGGTATTGAGAAGAATCAAACCATTCACCTCATCATCAAATTCTATGCCGAGATTGGCTAACTGCTTGATGATGCCAAGGAAATCATTAATATGGTCTGCTGTGGGAGTGCCATCTTTGTACGTTGAGTACATTAATTGCTTTACATGGCACAATTTATTCTGCCCAGTCTTCACCTGGAAAAGCTGATCTAGTTTTGTCCATAATGTGCGTGCATCAGTTTCATCATTGATATGATTCAACACACTATCATCAATCCATTGCTAGATAAATCCACACACTCGCCTATGGAGTAGCCTCCATTCTTCATCTTTCATGTTGTCTGGCTTTTACTCTGAAAAAACAAGCTCATGAAATTCTTTCACATAAAGAAGGTCTTCCATTTTCCCTTTCCACAGCTGATAGTTTAAACTATTCAGCGTGATCATTTTGCTCTAATTCACCTCCATTGTTCACATGAATATTAGCAGCACCTAGCTCTGATACCAGTTGTTGGGAAAAATTGGCATAGCAGAATAAATTATTTCTTGTAAACAACAACAAATAAATGGTGAAACAAGCAACTTAGCTGACCAATATTAACGGTTAGTGAAAAAGGCGATGTAGCCAGCCAAGCAAAATAAATTGGGCAGTTTAACCAGCCACTTAGGAAGAAAAATAAATAATAAGATGACACCAAATTTTATGTGGAAAAACCCCTAAAAACTATTGAGAAAAAAAAAACCACAGGACAAATTCCGAAGGTTATTCCACTATGTGATAAAATTGTATAAAGTATACACTCAAGTATGTTCTCTCTCTTGGTGTTTCCCACTCCCCCAGGATATGATCACAATCCTGATAAACTCACAATTTTATCACTCAATGTACTCTCTATCGAGCACACTCACACCTAAGCTTAATGCCTAGCTCTCACCCCTTTTTTCTTTTTC